GGAGCCAAGCTGAAATGCACATCTGCAGATCCCAGGCAAGAAATGGTAGTGACTGTGGTCTGTGGACTTAATCTGTGGTCTGGATCACAAGATGAATTCTAAGTAAAACCTCCTTCTATCTCACTTGGGAACAGGTGTTAAGAACAACATTCCTCTAATAGTTGAATTTTTGACTTAAAATAGATCATACAGAAAAATGTGTAAAGCTCTCTAAAGTTGAAAAAAACCTTTCCTATAATAATGTAAAGTGGCAGTTTCATTAAAGATGCTCATTGCAGTAATCTGGATCTATTTATCTGTAATCACTTTAAAACTCATTTCTTTAGCCCTTTCCCCTTAGGCTTTGGGTTAATCAGGTTACAATTAGAGAAACAGAACCACCATGAGTGATGTAGAATAAGAGGTTAATCATAAAGATATGACCTCATGCAATTGCTGGAGCTGGTGGATTTTCACAAGCTATTCAGGTATTTATGTTTTATGAAGCTATAATAGGAATTACAATATTCTTTCAAAAATATGACATTGACATCAAATTGGATTTGCTTTATGAATCCAGGTGCACCTGAGTTAGGTGCATAAATATTTAGAATTGTTATGTCTTCTTCATGAATTATACTCTTCACCATTATATAGTTACCATCTTTGTCTTTCATTACTTTTATTGATTTGAAGACTAAGTTATCTGAGATCAAAACTACTATGCCAGTTTTCTTTTGGTTTCCATTTGCATGGAATATTGTTTTCCATCCCTTCTGTCTGAATGCATCCTTGTGGTTTATATGTGTTTCCTGAAGACAGTAGATACTTGGCTTGTGCATATTTATCCATTCGGGGAGCCTATGTCTCTTTAGTGGGCAGTTCAAGTCATTGACATTTATTGGAAGAATTGATAATTGTGAAAATTTTCTCTTCATCCTCTTGAGTTGAACTTTGTTGCTTTGTTTTCCCTCTTGAGCCATTGTGGTATCTGGCCTTTGACTTTTAGCTTTTGGATGATTTTACACTGGTGTCTATTGTGCTGATCCATGTGTAATGCTGTGCTGAGTACTTCCTGGAGGGCAGGTCTCATTTTGATGAATTCCCTCAGTCTTTGCTTGTCCAAGAAGGTGTTTATTTCTTCTTCATATAAGAACTTAGTTTTACAGGATACAAAATTCTAGGCTGGGCATTATTCTGTTTGAGAAGACTGAGAATGGGCCCCCAGTCTCTTCTGACTTCTAAGGTCTCAGTTGGGAAGTCTGCAGTTAGTTTGATGGATTTTCCTTTGTTACCTGCTGCTTTTGCCTTATGGCTCGTAGGAGGGCCTCCATCATGTTTATTTTGGTCAGTCTGATGACTATGTGTTGTGGTGTCTTCCTGTTTGCAATGAATCTCCCAGGAGTCCTTTGCGCTTCTTGTACCTGGATATCTAAATTTCTAGCAAGGTCAGGAAAATTTTCCTCCACTATATCTTCAAATAATTTATCCAACCCTGGTGTATTTTCTTCTTCACACCCAGGGATGTCTGTGATTCTTATGTTAGGATTCTTCACATAATTCCACATTGCAATAGGCTTTGCTCTTTTTTCTTATTTTTCTGTTCTATCTCTGTGACTGACTTATTTAATTGAAAGGTGTCATCTTTAATCTCTGGGTTCTTTTCTCTGCTTGATCTATCCTATTCTTGAGGCTTTCCACTGTGTTTTATAATTCCTTGAATAAATACTTCATTTCCAGAAGTTCTGTTTGATTTTTATTTAATATTTCAATTTCTTCGGTGAATTTTTCTTCCAAGTCCTGGATTTTTTTTGAGGCTTCTTTGTGTTGGGTATACATTTTCTCTTGCATACATTGAATTTTCTTACAACCCATGTTCTAAATTCTTCTTTTGTCATTTCAATGTTCTAATTTTGGTTGATATCCATTGCTAGAGAGCTGGTATTCCCTTTTGGGGTTGTCCTTTCTGTTTGATTCTTCATACTTACAGAATTCTTTCATCAATTCCTTCCCTCCCATCTGGAGCAGCTGTTGGCTTCTTATCTTTGGATTTTCATTTAGATAATGACACGCCCAGTTTAGTTTCTGAGCCAGTAGGTGGTGCTTCTAGGTGAGAATTGACCACATCCTGTATGATGAGTCAGTAAATTCATTAAAAGGGTATGCAAAATGCTAAACAGTACCACCAAAATAGCCGGGGATTTCAACACCACTCTGACGGAATAGAACAGATCCTCCAAACAGAAAATAAACAAAGAAATAATAGACTTAAACAGAACTCTAGAGCAAATGAGCATGACTGACATTTACAGAACATTCTACCCCAAAACCACTGAATATACATTTTTCTCAACAGCTCATGGGATCTTCTCTAGGATTGACCATGTCTCAACAAATTTAAAAAAAATAGAAATTATACCATGCATTGTTTCAGACCACAGTGGAATAAAATTAGAAATTAACTTCAACAGAAACTT